AAACTAGACAATAAAAGGAATTTAAATAAGTAAATTTTCAAATGATGTTGCGTTAAGTTTGCATCATGAATATGCCAGCGGTGATTATGAGTTTAATTGCTCCCTCCTCAGGTGAGAGGCAGGATCCGAAGAACAGGGACTCCCTGCACCCCTTCACCTCCTGCTGTTTCCCAAGAACTTGCTAGGGAGACACGGCCCTTTCTGTGGCCTTCCTGGGGGCTCCTGCAGAAAGTGTCCACACCACCTGAGTCAATGGGGGTGTGCAGGTCCAGAAGAGTCACAGCGACTCACAGGTTTCTCTCATCTGACCAGTGCCTTGACTTATTTCTTCCTTCCTACTAAAGTAAGGAACACACTCCTCTTGCAAGATAACGGTCCCATAGTGGAGGCCCATGTAGTGTAGAGAGGAAAAGGAAGCTAACAAGTAATGCTGCCAGAGATGAGGGGTGTTCATCTGGGTCACATCCCCTCCCAGCACGTTGGAACTAGAGATCCCAGAGGGCAGCTGAGGAAGCAGCAAACCAAAGGGGCTCCGTGGGTATCTCCACTAGGAGCGACGAGTAGCTGTCCCCAGAATCTTCAACGGTGTCTTCAGGTCTCATCTCATGGCCAAACCGCCCAATGACGAGACCAAAACAATGGGTTTGATGTCCTTTATTCAAAGGGAAGCAATCCAGGGGTTGGGAGAGCGCAGTGCCTCACAAGCTGTGGAGCTTGTGGAGCACTCTTTTTGAGGGATTTTGGGCAAGAGAGTATTTATTGGAGCATTAGAAGGGGCAATTCAGAAACAGGGCATGATTCTGGTTGGTTGCTTAAATTGTTGCATTGGCCTTTGGGCTGTTTGGGGCTGGCTCTTTAGTCTCTGCCTTATTATCCCCATCTTTTCATTTTGTTTTTGAGCACTTCCTTACTTTCTGATACCGCAAGATGATCCAGGCTCATCCTGTATTTTTCCTGCCTCAACCCTAGAATCAGCCATAACTGATGTTTTTAGAAAAATGCGGTAGGTAAATGCTGAGATCTGGGCACTGGGTGTGCTTGTTGCCACTGGGGTATCTATCTGTCTATTATCTCTCTCTCTCTTTCTCTCTCATCATCTATCTCTACCTCTATAAATATAATATATATAAAATATACATAAATATATATAAATATATATATATATATATATATATATATATATATATGGGTTGGGCAATATATACATAAAGTTAAAACTGAGTTCAGACTGATATTTCCAAATCTGGTCCAGGACCACAGGATTCATTCTAGCCTTCCTTTCTGGTTTATATATAAACAAGTTGAAGAATATTAGCCCATACATCCCCATGAGGAACAAATTTACCAACTAAAGCACAGCTTACAGCCAGTGCCTTTTGTTTTTATCCCTAAAATGCAAGCTAAAACATGATTTTCCAAACTTAGTTCCAAAGTCAGCTCCCTTTTTCTCTCCACCCTTTTCAGTAAGATTATGCCATGCGTCTGTAACACAGTGAGATTCATTTGTCACAGTCTGCCTTGTATAGGTCACCCCTCCGTCCTGCTAGATGTTCCTCATTCTTTTCCCTCTACATTAACATTCACTCTTTGTGATGCAACGTTCTATAGGTTTTGAAAAATGAAAATGACCGTGCACCCGTCGTCCTAATACTGTACAGAAGTTTCCTTGTATATACAGAAGAGTCCCATGACTAGTCAACCACTCCCTGGTTCCTTATTGCGATGGCTAATCTGTTTTCCATCCCTGTAACTTTCGCCTTTTTACAGTGCCATATAAATGGAATCACACGTAGCTTTTGGATCTGGCTTCCTTCACTCAGTAAAATGCACTTAGGATTCATTCATGTAATTGCATGAACTAACAGCTTGTTTCTTTTTATTACTAAATCGTATCACATTGTATGGACACTCCACAGTTTATCTACCTTGTCCCCCACCTTCCGAGGACATCCTGGTTGTTTCTAGTTTTTCATGATTGTGAATAAAACCGCTACAAGCATTCACGTACAGGTTCTTATGTGGCCATACATATTCAAATCTTTTGAACGCTGGAGAGTATGGTGTCTGTGTTTTGCTTTATAAGATACTGCCCAACTGTCTTTCAAAGCAGTCGTACCATTTTGCATTCTTGCCAGCAATGCAGGAGAGTGCCCGCTGGTCTGTGTCGCCAGCCTTCGTTACTGGGAGGTTTTGGAAAACACTTAGCCCTTACAAAATCAAGGATTAGGTTGTAATACATTAAATTAAGGGGCCCAGGGATTAGATGGTAATAGGTATAAATGGCAATTTCCTGATTTGGTGATTGTTTTGTGGCTACATGGTAAAACACCCTTGTTTAGGAGATAAAATGTGGGAGTGATTTTTAGGAGTGATTGGCTCATCAACTCGGCAACTTACTCTCAGGTGGTTCTGCACTTGTAATTTTTCTGAGAATATTTCAAAATAAAAATGTTTGAAAAAGTGCAAAAAAAATCTTTAGCCATTCTAAAAAGTATGCAGTGATACCTCATTATGGTTTTAATTCACATTTGCCACAATGATAAATGATACGTTTTTTATATATGTTTATTTTCTGTTTGTATAGTTTTGGTGAAGTGTTTGTTTGGATCTTCTATGCTTTAACGAGTTGTTTATTCTTTTGTCGAGTTCTAAGAGTTCTTTATATATTCTGTATGAAATTATTAGTTACGTGATTTACAAATATTTTCTGTCTCTGATTTTTTAAGAGAAGGAGAGAAAGAGAGAGCAAGCAGGGTGCAGAGGGAGAGGGGAAAGAGAGAACCTTAAGCAGGCTCCATGCCCAGTGCAGGGATCCAGGGGGTTGCTGACGCAAGGCTGGATCTCACGACCCTGAGTTCATTACCTGAGTTGAAATCGAGTTAGATGCTTAACCAGCTGAGCCACCCAGGCACCCCTATCTCTGATTCTTTTAACAGTGCCTTTCTCTGAGAACAAGTTTTTACTTTTGACAAAGGTAGCTTATTTTTTTCTTTCACGGAGCATGCTTTGGTATTGAATACTTTTGATTTTAAACTACTCTGACCATATCAATCTTTAGCGTTGAGCTTGCCTGCCAGTAGGAATGCCTCCCTCGCTGGCTTACCGCATGATCAACATTCATCTCCCAATCTACATTAACAGAGGGACATTTGGGTTTGGTCTCTGCATTTGGTTAATAGGATTCAGTCTCCAGGATTTGCTGTAATCTGAACCAGGGACCTGTAGTTCACTGCTCTCGTCCAGACCTCTCCCTTTCTTGCCACACTAGATATGAGCATTGTCCAATGATCTGCCTGATAGAGCCAGCTGGATTCTTCTTGAAATCACAAGCTAACACGTGCTCTCCAAGCACAACTTACTCATCTATGACTGAGAGGGCACTGGTCTCAATGATCTCTGAGGGATCTCTCAGAATTAATTTTTTATGACTTGCTCCCTGTGAGGCATTTGTCAAACTGTACAGTACTCATTATCTGTAAGAACATCCTACCTTATTCTAGTCACTTCTCGTTGTGAACATGCGCATATTGCTCAGCTTAGCTTAAGAAAAAATGGAATTTCTTTATGCATGACTGGGAAGAGTAATGAAAGAGCTAAAAATAAACTCAAAAGAAGTAAGAACTGGAGCGTAGAGACTGGAATTGGGCAAGCAATGCTATCAGCTCCCTCTCAGTCTTCTCTCAGGCAGACCATCTCCACAGAGCAGATGTTGGGTCTCTGATGGCCTCATGTCTACATATATACAGCCTTCCATCTCAGAGGAAGCCAGAGCTACCCTTGTTCACTTCACATTTAGAAAATTTCAGGAAAGTTCTCTGGACTGAACATGTTCATCTTTTAGAATAATTACTGTGTCCAAGAGATGCAGTATGGCCTCTGACCCAGCTTACATCACTTGGTTAATTTAAAACCCTAGGGGGAACAAAGAAGCACCATGACTGGCAGCTCCAACATGACTCCATGCAGAAAGGGAGGCATTTCCTACATTTCTTGTTCACTCAAGGATGACGACCATAAGAATTCTGAGTAGCTCAAAATGATTGCTATAATAATAATTATTACTATTATTACTGCTACTATTATTGCCACTACTAATATTGCTTCTAATATACATTACTATGTGTGCTAGGCAGCCATGAGTGGGTTATAGTGGATTGTAAAAGCTGATCCTTTTATAGAACTTTGTATTTGGTAAGCACTTTATACTTGCCAAGTTTTACATAAATAAGCTTTTATTTTCCTCACAGCAACAGTATCAGGTAGGTATTATTATTATTGTTATTTTTGTAATTATTATTCTTAGTTTACAAATAAGCTTGAGAAAATTATTTCCTCAATCACACAACCAACGCATCATGTTCAACTCTGGATTTTCACTTGAGGAGCTAATAAAGAGGAATGATATTTTTCTCTAGACTTGGAGGTCATAGGATATAAGACTGGACCTACAATAACCATTTTTTCTCTCTGAATAAAGGAACTTCTCTGAGAATTGATAAAACACAGAAGGAAGCAGAGTAGTCAGAAAGAAACAGTGTCATAAAGACTTCATTTGAGTCCCTAGATCTACAGCCAGACTGTCACTGGAGTTTAAGTTCCATAAACCAATAAGTTACATTTTTGTTCAAATGAATCTGGATTTGAATTTTATTATTTGAAATTTGGAGAATTCAACCTGATACAGACGGGTCTATGGAATAGTTCTTTCCATGTCTTCAGCTCTTCTATCGCTGTCTTTTCTTCCTCTGGTCAACAATCCAAGACCACTGGGGATGATGCAATTAATGCTTCTTGAAAGATGAACAGTTCCTCATATTTTGTCCCAAGCTAAGTGAGGAGGGACGAGAAAGAAGAGATGACATGGTCTCTCAACAAATGTGTGCTATGCACTTTCTAATTTTGGCTGGGCCAGTTTATAGAAAAGCTTGTGTTGGTTGTTCAAGACCCTACTGAAGCAAAGGATTTGAACCTATTCCAAGAGTTCTGACATTTTCCAGTAAATCTCCTATAGCTCCAACCTCAGTAAGCACATGAAGTCTAAAGATTTAACAGGTAACTTTTTAACCTGCTTCTTGTGGCAGAACAAAGCTTGCCAATTTCCATCCTGGGATCATGGAATCATCCTTGTAATTTAGTTCACCTCAACTCAGCCAATTTTCCATTTTAGGGTCTTCTTTTTCCAACATAACTTTTGGTGTTAATGTCTAACTCAGGTTTGTTTTGATTGCAGAGAGCAGAAACCCACGTTAAATTTCCTAAAACAAAAAGGATTTTGTTGGTTTGTGTAGCTGGAGGAGACAGTACAAGGGTTGGAATTTGAAAATAAATATCTTTCTTTGCTTCTCTACTTATCTATCATTCTCCATCTCTCTCTGTCCTCTAACTCCTGCATATATGTCTGTAAATTCTCTCCACGACTGTACTTGTTTCTCCTGTTCTCACCATCTCCTTCTGCAAAGTGGATTTTTCCATATGTCAGTAAACATGGACACAGATGGTTTCAGAATTACACACTTACAGCTCACAAAGGAAAAGGAAAATAAGGCTATACCTCTACAAGGAATTCAGATAATTCCAATAAAGAATTTTAAATACTTTAGTTTGAGTCACTCAGTTACATCTGTGTATTGAACACAACATCTGTGGAGATAGTTGATTGTTTCAGGTTGGGTCACATGTGTTTTCCTATTGACAACCCTTGAGAACCACATGGAAACGGTGAAAAGATCCCTAAAAGCTAGTAAGAAGTGCTCTGGAAAGAAAAGGGATCGGAAAGTACCCAAATAGGTTTTTTTTTTTTTTAATTTTATTATGTTTTGTTAGTCACCATACGTCATTAGTTTCTGATGTGGTGATCCACCATCCATTGTTTTCGTATAACACCCAGTGCTCCATGCATACATGCCCTCCTTAGTACCCATCACCAGGCTAACCAATGGTTTTAAAAAAAAAAAGTTCTCCTAGTTCATCACATAATATTTGTATTTTTATTGATTGATTATCTATTTTAAGTTAGTATTTATGACTGAAAAGGCAGCCGGGCAATTTTTGCTCAGGAGTCTCCCTCAGAATGGCAAAAATTTTTTTCAATGTCAAACATCGGGTTTTGGGGGTGGGGGTTGGCTGATACATATACAAATGTGAAAATGATTCACCTAAACCCTGATTAGGTTCTGAGGACATAGATGTTAGAAAGATTGCTTTTTTGGTTTCAATTTAAAAATAAATGCATGAGAAAAACTGTGTAGATAATCACAAAAAATGATAAAAAGAAACACCATGCCCATTTGCTTATTTTCAAAATCTCTGGAAATTTTCCTAGCTTTAAATATCAGCATGTTCGAGGGAGAGAATTAATCTGTGCAAACCTAAGAATAATGGCATAAACAAAGCATGTATTATCTATAAATTATCTAGTTTTCTTTGGGTGATCATGTCAGAGCAAGTTCATTCCCACATCTTTTTTTTAAAGATGAAGTTAGAAGGAGGCTAGAATAGAATAGAAAGTTATGGAGCTACAGATTTTCACAGAATTACAGGTTACAGATCATGTTATTCCTTTGCTCAAAATTGTCCAGTGGTTTTCTATTATACCCCAACACTCTCTAAGGACTTAGATCATCTGACTTCTATTATTTCTGTGACCTTTTCCTTGCTTTGCCTTAACAGTCTTGACTCAGGACCTTTGAACTTACTGTTCTCCCTGCCCAGAATGCCTTTCTCTCAGATATACCCAGATATAATGCAAAATTCACACACACACACACACACACACACACACACACACACACACACACACGGTTATTTTTCTTGCTTATTATCTGATCCCCCACTGGAATGTAAGCCTTATGAAAGCAGAGATTTTTGTCAATTCTGTTCTCTACTTTATCCCCATTACCCACCTACATGGTGTCTTGCACATAGTAGGTGCTCCATAAATACTTTTTGAAGTGAATTAACTAAAGACAGATCCATATTAAGCAACATTTTATATGGGTACTGGACTCTATAAACTTTTCTTGACACACAGAGGTCCATTTAATCATAATATCAAATCATCCTGATGTCATGAGAAAGGAATATTTGTGTCACAGAATTGATGGATGAGTATTCATTTTATTATGTCCATCTCTGGGGGAAAAAATGTTCAGAATGTTGTAGGTGATACAACAGCTATAAGAGAAACAAAATAAATTGTTGTTGCCTTGCATTTAAAGACGTCAGACAGAGACCCAGAAATCTGCTACAGCGAGCCATACAAAGTCGTGTAATTCACTGCTGTGGGGGTGGCAGGTTGCCCAAGAATGGGGAGAGAAGGTCAGAACTGGCCCTTTAGTCATGGATAGATTTAGGATGGCCACAAAAAAGAAAATAAACACTTAAGAAAGGGGGAGATGAAGAACAAAAGCATATCACAACCAAATACATTTTTTTTTTATCAATTGTAGGTTCAGAAAGCAATTCTTTACTTTTCACTATTGCATTTTTAAGAGCTGATTTAAGGAACTAAGTTGTATCCTGATGCATTCTAAAGCAAACCATTTGTTTCTTATTTTCCAAACTGGATAGATTGGTGTTTTTTCTAAACCTATTATTAAAATGAGACTAGCAAATAAATATTATGGCAAGATTAGCTCATAAATTAATCAAAATTTCAAGCAAGATAAAAAAGATAGATATTATCCAAGATATATATTATCTAAGAAAGAAAGCTCAAAGACAGCCAGTGAGATGTGATTGGTCATACAGAGCTCCACTGAAATTAAAGAAACTTTAATTCTCTGTAGTCAGTGAGCACAATAAAAAACAAAAAAAAACTTTTAAAATACACCAACAGTTTTATTAATCTCCAGTTTTAATATGTAAGGGACTTGAATGCTTATTTTAAATTTTTGTAGTGACTCAGATTTGTGTCAGATAAAATAGTGTTTAATTAGAAATTTAATTGGAAAAAATAACCTAAATTTTCTTAAAATTGTTAAGAAATACAAGAGATGCAAAGAAGGCCAACTATGGGCCTGGGTCTTTTGCTAGGCATTTCTAATCCAGGATCTTTAGGAAAAGTCCCATTCAATTTTTAAAAAATAGCCAGTCGCTGGAATTTATTTTAAGTGTTAGTAATTCTTAAGGCACGATGAGTTTGAAAATAACAGTTTTTTTTAAATCAGAATTTGGTAAATTCATGGGATAAAGAATTCTGGAATCAGGGACAAGGCTATGAGCTAAAAGCAAGCAAGAAAAGTTCTATTTCCTGCTTTTGGAGGCTAGATAATTTACTGTTGGCCAGCCATTGAGTTCTAAAGTTTCTAAGCAATTGACTGAGGATTTAAAATCAAGCCATGTTCCTTTGATGCATTTTAAAGAAATATTTCTGTACTGTTTTTTTCTAGTTGTAACCAAGATACTGAGGGCTTCTCACAGACATATTTTATTATCAACCTCCTGACTTTGAAACAGGCATCATCATGCTGGGGAAAAATGCCAATAGTAAAAATGATCTTTTACTGAACATTTTGTGTGAAGATATGATAGGTTTTTAACCATATGCCATACAGTAAAATTCCATAACAATTTTTTTGAAAATGTATCTCTTCCATAATTTGTCTCTGCAAACCACTTCATCTCTTTCTCTTTCATTTCTAAATAATCTCCTTTACTGTCTTCCTAACATTTGAACAAGCACTTGGCTTGCATTTTTCACTCAACCAAATGCGAGATCAATGACTAGGGCCAACCAGAGACTACCATTCCTCAGGCACACCCTTGGAAGACTCTATATCCCCTCACTGCCTGTGCCCCTGATCTTCTCCATTATTACCATCTACATGAGCAGAAGGAACAGGAGCAGCATCTATTTTCTTTCTTTCTTTCTTTTTTTTTTTTTTTTTTGGCATGTACCTCTAATAGCCTCATCTTACGCAGTTAAACAAACCTTGGCCAGATTTAATCCTCCGAAGTGAAGCTAATCCTTTAAAATGAAAGAGTGCCACACAAAGTAGAAATTAAGCAGTACATAATGATAAGCTGCTAGTCACAGGAAACTATAGTTAGAAATATAAATTTTACTGCCTATAAACATAAAAATGGTAACATGTTGAGATGGAAGAAGAAAGAAAGATCTTGTGTAGTGCCATTTCAAGGGGTTGGTGAAGGAAGGCTGTAAGTCCTCCAGGTGTAATTATGGCAAGGGTTTCTGAATAAAAATGCAGCAAAATAATCAAGGCAAGACATTCAGGAAAAATAACATGGCACCAAATTCTATCAGGTGTGTACAAAGTTCTATAGAAGAAAAATCACTTTCTTTAACTGACTTTGAAAAATAAGTAACAAAAATGGGAAAAAAAATGTGAAGCACACAGCTAACTAAAAAAAATGAAAGCATCCTGAGAACAATGATGCAGGCCAAGAAATAGAACATCACAAACCTCGAGAAGCTTCTCCGCATGCCCTTTCAGTCACTTACCCCACAAAGAAAATGACAGGCATACCTCAGAGATACTGCCGGTTTGGTTCCAGACCACCTCAATAAAGTGAGTATCAAAATAAAGCAAGTCAAACTGGGGGAGGAGGGGAGGGCAAGTGTGGGGGTGGAGGGGAAGATACAAACTACAATGTAGAAGATCAAAAAGCTAGAAGTTTGTTTTTTGGCAAGACAAAACTGACAATCTCCTTGTAAGATGCAGTGGTATAAAAACAGCACAAATTACCAATATTAGGAATGAAAAAGGGAAAAATCACTATAGATCCTAGAGATTTAGAGGATAATAAAAACATATTTGAGACAAGTTTATATCAATAAATTTGATAATTTTAGATGAAACAAGACAAATTCCTAAAATTACAACAGCCAATGGTCACACGGAGAATTAAAAATCTGAATAATTTTTTATCTATAATTACAAATATTACCTCTACCTCTGAAACTAATAATGCATTGTATGTTAATTAATTGAATTTAAATTAAAAAAAGGGCGCCTGGGTGGCTCAGTTGGTTGAGCGACTGCCTTCGGCTCAGGTCATGATCCTGGAGTCCCGGGATCGAGTCCTGCATCGGGCTCCCTGCTCAGCGGGGAGTCTGCTTCTCCCTCTGACCCAACCCCCTCTCATGCTCTCTCTCTCTCTCTCTCATTCTCTCAAATAAATAAAATTAAAAAAAATAAAAAAAGGTAAATGAAGGATGCCTGAATGGCTCAGTCTGTTAAGCATCTGCCTTTGGCTCAGGTTATGATCCAGGGGTCCTGGGATGGAGCCTTGC